CTCATTATATATGCGTGTAGCACGTCCAGGTTTTCCCGGTTTAACCGGTTTGACCTGTTTTGAAGGCGGAAGGCTCCAGTCGTTTGCATTAGAGTGCTGCCCTTGAATTCTTTCCTATTGTACAAGCCGCGTGTCTTGGTATAGAGCAACCATGGCCGCTTCAGTATTTTCATCCAACGTGCAGGAGATGTTCTACGGATCTATTCCGCGCGAAGACAACATGAGACTTAAACCCCCTATCAAGTCCAGGAGAGATTTTGATTTTGAGTTGGTAAGAAGCAACTTCAATGAATGGCTTCGTGCATGGAAATGGCAGTCCCAGAAGGTAACAAATACAAAGCCAACCTTCTCAGATTCGCACAGAAAACGAAATCAAGATTTGAAGAAGTAGTAGAAAATGAAATTAAAACCCTAAAAAGCGTCAAAGTGCAGTTCGCGCTTAAAGTTAAGTTTTCGATAACTAGATATGATGAAAAATAAGAAATGGAACACCATTTCAAACAGAGAAACCCCGCGGTTTTCAACAGAAACAACGCAGCAACAGTAAATAGCACATTTGGCCGATTCACTGATGAAGTCAAGGGCGAAATAGAAGCATGGTCTCAAATATTCTCTGGCTGGGTGGTAGAAGGCGTCTTGGAAGCTGCATGCCTCTGCCCAAAAAGCTCCAAAGCAAAAAAGCGATNAGTCCAGGAGGGATTTTGATTTTGAGTTGGTAAGAAGCAACTTCAATGAATGGCTTCGTGCATGGAAATGGCAGTCCCAGAAGGTAACAAATACAAAGCCAACCTTCTCAGATTCGCACAAAAAACGAAATCAAGATTTGAAGAAGTAGTAGAAAATGAAATTAAAACCCTAAAAAGCGTCAAAATGCAGTTCGCACTTAAAGTTAAGTTTTCGATAACTAGAGATGATGAAAAATAAGAAATGGAACACTATTTCAAACAGAGGAACCCCGCGGTTTTCAACAGAAACAACGCAGCAACAGTAAATAGCACATTTGGCCGATTCATTGATGAAGTCAAGGGCGAAATAGAAGCATGGTCTCAAATAGGCTCGGGCTGGGTGGTAGAAGGCGTCTCGGAAGCTGCATGCCTCTGCCCAAAAAAGCTCCAAAGCAAAAAAGCGATAATCAACGTACAAAACAGAGACAACGCGTGCTTGAGATGGGCGCTCCGTGCGGCCTTATTTCCATCGGCGAATGGTGTAAAAAAAAGTGACAAGAACCTCAAGCTACCCCACAGAAGACGGGCTGAATTTTACAGGAATAGACTTCCCCACACCTGTATCACAGATTAATAAACTAGAAAAGTAAAACCCGAAACTGGCCATAAACGTGTTTGGCTGGGAAAACGACCGCGTGATCGTGCATAGAATCAGTGAAAAAGAGGGCTATCTCCCGCGAATCAACCTGATGCTGATAAATGACAAAGAAAAATCGCACTACTGCTATGTGAAAAGGCTGA